AAGAGGACATCGACTTGTTTTTTTGCATCAAAGCCAAGTGATTTCTTTAATCAGGGCATTAACAACTTGATTTTAAAAGGGAAAAGCATTATGTATAAGAATGCAGACTATTTGATTTAATTAATATTTTGTTTCGATATATAAGTTGTTCGGGTTTTTCATCTAACAAAAAGTGACATTGATTTCTTGACGACCTAATATTTATATCGAAAATAAAGCAACAGTTGTTTTCATCATCGCATGCTTATCACAAACAGAAGACATAAATTTCAGTATAAGTAAAATGTTCGAGTTCTAAAAGCTGTAAGTTAACACAAATACATACGTGTATGTATACAGTTATCTTAATAGTAGTTTCTTCGTTCGTAGGCAAAGAATTCGGATCTGAAAAGCATGGGAAACCGTCCGATACTATGTCTTCTCGAGGATCAGACTTTAAAATTGACGTACATACAACCTCCTCAATAACGAACGACAATGACCGTAGTTGGGATGAAACAAGTAACACTACTCGAACAGGAACGAGCGACACACATGACTACAACAAATATTCAACGGACTATTCTGAATCAAGTTTCCCTCCTAGTATTGTAAGCAAGAATTTATTGCTTTATATGTTTTTCCTTACTGTTTCAACTCGGAACATTGGAAGTTACAGTAACTCATTTTGTATATCTAATTTAATTTTTCATTTAACACGTCTATTTTTTGTCTTCTCTTAATAATACAAAGATTGATAGGAATAATAAAAACATATTGAACTATAAATCCTAAACAAAAATGCTTATATAAAGTAAATTGAGATTATTTTATCTATTTCTAAAATTATTTTGGTAACTATAAATACCTGATAACATAAACCTATTGTTATAGGAATATCTTTTACCGCTAATAGAAGTCAACGAATGTTTAACTCCCAAAACAATTATTTCATAAGCCGCACTACACGAAATATTTCGTTTTTGTTTCTTTATTAATGTTTTTTACATAAATATACCAAATCATATAACTATCATAAATATTGACATGACTATCAGAGCTACGTAACAAAGTTATCATACTAGAAAGAACTATTAAAGACTGATCAGACGTAATAAAATTAACTTACTTGCACTTTTAGAAAATGTTTCAGTAGTTTATGATGAAAAAAAAAAGGGTTATGTTGTTATGTTGGGAAAGTCTAAGAATTTTACATTATGCAATAAACAGTGGGTCTCCAGTGCATTTCGCCTCCCAGTGGCACAATGGTATGTCTGCGGACTTACAATGATAGAAACCGGGTTTCGATACCC